TCTGCGTGTGTGTGTGTGTGAAGTCACCTCCACCTGACTCTGCGTGTGTGTGTGTGTGTGTGTGTGTGTGTGTGTGTGTGAAGTCACCTCCACGGAACCAGGGCGCCATCGGTTCCCCTCGGGAGAGGAGGGAGCTCACTGGGCGCCAGGCACCACTTCAGGACCTCATCTCTAACTGTCTCCACCTTCAGGCTCTCTAACTGCCTCCGCCTTTAAGGTCTCTAACTTTTGCCACCTTTAAGGGTTGTTAGGACCTCCGAAGTTGTTTGTTGAGCAAAGTAATAGCCGTGGGCGTGTTTCTACTTTTATTCAGAAGACTAATGGCCGCTGCCTTCTACCGTGTGTCCTAATGAAGACAATTAAATAGCCATTAGGAGGAGAGCAGAGCTGAAAACAAAGGCAGATGTCTTGATCTGGCTGATGGGATTCCTTGGGGCAGGGTGGGGCGGGATTGGGAGGGGTGGGGGGTGACCTGGGGGTCTCCCCATCCCCTCTGTGAACACGAAGGAGCAGCTCTGGGGCTTGGGGTTCCCCCACAGCGTTCTGTCCTCTAGGGAAGGCTGTCTTCATCTTCAATAGCTCCCCCGCCACCTTCCCGAGCTTTTATTACCAAGGGAGAGGACACGGGAGAATAACTGAGACTTTTAAATTTGTTCTTCTTATTTTGGATTTCGACCGCCTTGCCCTTTCCGAGGGCTCAGCGTCCTTTTCCAAACTGATCTGTAGGCAGAGCGATGAATGGAGAGGAGAAAAAGGATCAGCGAAAGGGGCGTCTGGGGGCGGGGAGGTGACCAAGTTCACTTCCAAGAGCTCCAGCACCGTCAGCAGAACCAGCGGCGTCATTCTTGTACGGGTTCTGGGGCTTGCGCTCCGGGCCTCGGTACTCTCCCTTTGTTTTCTCATGCTACTGCTTGAGCCACAGCTCCACTTTTGGGTTTGTGCTGGTTAACTGGAGATTTCTCTTGTCTCATGGACTTTCCTACCCAGGCTGGTTTCGAACCACGATCACAGAAACCTGAGGGAGCTGGGGTGTTACCGGTGTCTACGGATGCCGCCTCTGACTTTTAACCTCTCCATTTCTTTGTCAATTCCTGCAGAAACCTGTCCAGTAACCGGCTCACCACACTCTCCTGGCAGCTCTTCCAGACGCTGAGTCTTCGGGAATTGTAAGTTGGTTCAAAAGGTTGTCATCGGGGCTGGGTGGGGGAGGGGGGGCGAAGCAACGGCAGTGGTTGGGTGGAGACAAGGGCTAAGCCCTGGAACCTGGGGTCTGTGGAGCCCCTGGCCCCCCCAAGGGGCTTGGATTGGGTGATGCAGGACAAACCATATTATATTCAATGGGAGCAAGCCCCCCCCCCCGCCCCTTGAGTTCTGATGTTCTCTGTAAGCACAGTCTGTTTCAGAAGGTGTGATGGTGGCTGGGGCGGGGGGTGGGGGGGCTGGGGAGGGTGGGGTCCACCGAGGTGGAACCTCACAGAATGTCCTGGAACCTCAAATGCTCCCCACCACAGCCTTCCATGCGGCTCAGCATGGTGGTCACCCCACATGGTTCTCACCTAGAGGTTGAGGAGGGGGTCGTGCATACTTCTCTCTCTTTCTCTTTTGGCCTCGAACCATAATCCTCCTGTGGTCAGCCTCCCATGTAGCGAGGATTACAGGTGAGAGCCTCAGGCACCCAGTGAGGATCTCATCCCTTCACAGAACTTAGGTTGAGGATCGGCAGGAAATGAGTCATACTATTAAACGTTATAATAATGAAGAGTTAAAAAACAATCCTTCTATAACGTTATCAGCTACCCTTTTTCCCGCCAACATAACCTTAGATTTCTCATGGCTCACAAGAGGCAGGGGCTGTCTCTGCCTTCTATGAGAGAGGACCGTGTTGGAGCGAGAGCTTGAACGACGGGCCCCTAGACTCCAGATTGTACCTCCTCACCTTCTCCCGGCGTGGTCATGGCCTTGGGGGCGGGGAGACATTTCTTTGATCGGGGTGTGGAGGGCTCAGCCTTGTCACCTCAGCCTGCCATTTTGTGCAAACAGAGGTTGGCTAGATGGATCAAAATCCGTGTCCGCCGCTGGGAGAGAAGCACAATGCAGGCCGGGTGAATTGAGAGGGAATGGGTGAGGCTGGGAGACGGAGCCCATGCGTGCGTTCGTGACTTGGTGACTCAGCCCCAAACTTGCCGCTCGTAGATTGCTTTGCCATGCTTGCTAAGAAGCAAGGAGCGTGGGCTTCCACCTAGAGGTTGTTGGCCTCCCACCCGACCTTTTGTTCTGCCTGGAGGCGTCGTAACCTGACCTTTTCAGACCGGCCACCAGAGCCAGAACGGTTCCAGCCTCCTCGCGGGTCACCCCGGTGGACAGCTTTCTGTGCTATGGATGCCTTCACAAGCCTCTTCTCCCACACGGGGCTTTGAAAGGCCGTTCCAGGGAGAGGGCTATGCAGAGTTCGTCTCTTTAAAAAACAGTGTCGAGAGTTGGGTATGACACCACACATCTGTCATCCCAGGACTTAAAGGAGTGATGTGAGAGGGTTGCAATCAAGGCCAATCTGGGCTGCATACAGAGTGGAAACAAACAAGCCAAAGAAACGTGTAGGGAGCTTAGGTTACTCACGCAGTGGCGTGTGTGCTTCTTGGTGTTGTCTGGTTTAGGTGTCCTAAGCGCAGTGATCAGAATTCTTAGCCATGTAGGGCTGAGATCTAGACAGGCACCAATAAAAATCCCTACCCGAGTTGGGCAAAAGATATAAATACGTCTTGTTTTACAAGACCTCTCCCCACAAGAGACTGCGCCACACACACTGTCAGAGTCACGTCACCCCATGCATATGGGTAAACCAACATGATTCCTACAGTCACTATCTGTGAGGATCCTGCCATAAAGGCAGGCAGGCACAGGAGAAGGAATATTATAAGGTGTATTAGAGGGGCCATCTCCACCCCCCCCCGAAGGGAGCAATATGGCGTCTGCTCCTATCCAGGTGGGTAGCTCTAGGGCCAGTGGCTAGGTCTGTGTGTAGGTAGGTCTGGGTGGAGAAAGAGTGGCCAGCTAGATGGCAGGAGCTCTAGAGCAGGAAGGAGCTCAGGTCTGGGCAGCGGTGAGGACTGGAGGTGGGGATAATGCTAGCACGATCAACACGGATCTCTGCATTCTTCCCTCTGCACCAGGCACTGGGCGGAATAATGTGTTAAGTTTGTAAGGTAGGAACGATGGCTGTCTGGCTGCCTTCGAGGGCCAGGTTAAGTGCCTTGTTTAAGGTCGCCCATTAAATCGGGGGTGGGGCTTTGGAGCGTGATCGACCATCGCCCAATTGTTGCTGTTGGTTTTTTTCTTTTGATCTGCTTTCAATACAGGGATCTGTCCTTCGATAACTGTCCCGAAGTGCACGGCTATTCTCAAATGGATGGGGGTAGGGGCTCACGGGGCTGGCTTTCTTGGGAGTCCCGGGTCTGGATGTCCACCTCTCCCCTTGGAGAGTCTGGGGACAGTGGCCCCTCAGGGGTTGTCAGAGGCCTTGCTGTTAGCACTGAACGTCGTAGAGATGTTCAGTGCATGGGATTTGAAATCAATGGCGTCCTGCCCCGGTGACCCGTTTCCTCGGAGCGTTAGAAACAGTTATTCCCCTGGATATATATTTAAAGAGAATGTCGGAGCTCTCCCAGAGGGTCATGGGATTGTGCATTCATCTTTGCAGGGATCAATACGCCCGAGAGCTGAGTTGTAATTTACGGAGGGATGAAGACATTCCTCGCGGTGTGAGTCAGCGTGTGAGGGCCATGGTGCCCCCAGAGTTATTTTATTTCTGTCATATTGGTAAATAAGAAAAAAAATTATCTTGGAGAATGAAGAATATACATTGCTTCCCCTCCTCCCCCCCGAAGGAGTGATCTCCTTGGTAGGGGTCTATTTTTTCCCCCCTGAGGAAGAATTGAATGTTGAGAGTGGGAAAAATGTATCTTTTGGCTGGAGGGGGCTGCACGTTGGCGCTTGGCTGTGGCTATGATTAAAATCCAAACAATCCCAGTTTCTGGCAAATGGAAGAGAGGGTGGGGGGGGTTGTGTTTTCTGGTCTGACTTCTTGATTAGTCTGCGCGGCGCCATCTGCCGCGTGCCATCTCGGCTGCCAAGGCCCGTGCGCGGGAGCCTGCAGGCTGCGGCTGCGGATGGGTCTGGCATTTCCACCGAGAGTGAGCTGGGGGTCTTAGGTAGGAAAAGGGCCCGGCGGGCCACGGCTGCCAGGAGAGTCACAGCCAGAAGTGCGAGGCTCCAAGTGGCCGTCTGTAGAGACAGAAGGGCCAGCAGGGCAGCCGGAAGTGCCCTTGCCCGACCCCGCTGGTTCTGCAGGAGTTCTCTTGAGGTCTCTCCCCAACCTGATCCTCGACGGCACCGTAGACCCTGCTGAGACTCCGGTTCTGGTGGCAGAGGAGAAAGGAACAGGCCCAGCCTCCAGCAATGTCGATGTCTGCCAGTGCTTGGACATTCTCACCACAAAGCCGTTGTCGTAACCATTTCTGCAGACGAGAGACCTGTGGCCCGGACAAGCAAGGCCAGGTCACGTGACGGGTAGACGGTCAATCTGCAGATCGGCCTGAGCGTGTTTAGTGCTCACACCATCTGGGTCTGCTCTTTCCCTCACTGAACTCAGAAACGCATCTTCCTTCCGGAAGCCACTCTCGAGATGGTGGCTCCCCAGAGTGGAGTCACAAGAAGAAAAACAAGCCATTTCAGAGAGCCCTTGCCATGGGTTTAAGACCTTTCCTCTACTTCCTGTCATTTTACTCTGTCGAGGGGAGCCCCTGGCTCCTCAACCCCCCTCCTGAATGAAACAAGACTGTCTCTCAGGACTGCTCTGGGGTCACTGGCCCTGTGTGGCTTGGCACTGCAGTGCTTCCAGAAGGTTCTGGTTTTGGCAAGAGTGTTAATTGTTTTCCTGTCTGTTCCTCCCTCCCGAACTCCAATCACAGTAAGATCAGAGAGATGGTCTTTGAGATAAAGGATGAATCAGGAAGGACAGGAGTGTGGACTGGCACCCCGGGAGAGAGTTCAGACCATGCCAGGAGGATGTCAGCCTACAAACGCAGCAACCTTCCAGACATTCTGAGAGGATCATTAAGGTGCCGCCGGCAGCCTCCCCTTGATATCTGCCACACAGGGAGTGGGCAGTGATGGAAACAGATGGGAATATTTCATCTTCTAAAAACCAAAGTGATAATTACCTCTGCTGTAATTTGCGGATTTAATCGACTTGGTAAGATATGAGTGGTCTGGGCTGATCATGGCACAGTCTTTCTCCCCATCTTCGCCTTGCATGATCATTTTGAAAGCTCTCAGCAGTCTTGCTAATAACAGCATTACTAGAATAACCACTTCTGGCCTCCGTACACCTCCTCTCCACAGACTTCACCAATGTCAATGATTGTTAATCCGGTAACGCAGTCATCCCATTTCATAGGCGTGAAGCCAGAGCCGGGGTGAAGGATGTTACTTGCAATTTCCTAGGGCTGCCTTGATGAGTCAGCACATGCTTGGTGGCTTCAAACGACCAAAAGTTCTTTCACTGTTCAGGAGGGCAGAAGTCTTGATCCAGGCCACCCTCCCTTCAGAGGACCTGGGGTTGAACCATCCTTGCCTTTTCTAGCTATGGGTGGCTCCTGGTGTTCTTTGGCTTGTAGCAGCATCATTTTGGCCTCTACCCCCTTCTACGGCTGACTCCCCAATATCCTTGGCCTTTGTACTTTTCTCCTTTCGCTCCTAAAGACTCAGTCACTGGGGCCAGGGCCCACCCAAAATCCAGACAGACCTCATTAATCTCTCTCTTTCCGCCCCCCTCTGTCTCTCTCTCTCTCTCTCATATACACACACATGAATACACACATATCTGCGCTCTCTCTCTCTCTCTCTCTCTCTCTCTCTCTCACACACACACACACACATTCCTGGGGCTTCAGCTCAGCACTTGGGTGCTGTCCCTGAGTTATCTTGCTCAGCGCTGGCACTCTGTCACTTGAGCCATACCTTCATTTACAGCTTATTGGTGGTTCATTGGAGAGAAGAGTCTCATGAACTTTCCTGCCTGGGCTGGCTTGGAATCTTGACCCTCAGATCTCAGCCTCCTGAGTAGCTTGGGTGACAGGCGTGAACCACCACTGCCTGACCAAAAAAATTACTTAAAAAAAAGTAAAACTGTGAACATATTCTTAAATTTCCATCACATATATTTGTTATGTCTTTCTAAAGATAAGGGTGGAGTGTTTTAGGTACAACCTCATGAAATCAACAATTCCTTGCTATCAGATACCCAGTTAGTATCTCATGAATACTGTAATTTTGAGGGAAAAAAAATCAGGAGCTACACAGATGTACACATTGCATTAGCCAACAAGTTAATGTATGCTTTTTAAAGAACTTTCCATTAAAAAAATTAAAGTTATTAAAATTTTTTTCTTTAAACAATTGTACAGTAGGGTTTCAATTCAACCTGGGAACTGATGGGTACCAGTGCTGGCTGACTACTGTCCCTCCCCCTCCCCCACATTGGTTTTGTCTTCGAGGACACTGAGACCAGAGTGACATATTCACAGATTCTGGGGCTCGGATTTGGGCATCACTGTTTGGAGGCCATGATGGAACCCAGGAGATGGATGATATCCCACCAGCTCCCCGAGAGTGTTCTGTGCACCCTTCCAGCCATCGCTGCTGCATTGGGAGGGCTGTGTTGTGTGTTCTGTGACAGCGGCACTGATTTGTTACCTTCCCCCGCCCCTGCCCCGTTTTCTCCAGGTGGCCCCTGAGTGGCCGTGGGCCTCGCCACTAATGAAGGTGCGGAGAGGAGGGATCGATGCTCCTAAATGCTGTCACTGCCTTGGCTTAGGAGCGGGGTGTTTGTGTGCTGGGGCCTGGATGGCCTGAGTTCATCTGCGTGGGGGCCCCTGGGGCCCTATGATAGGGTCCCAGGCCATGGGGGGGGCAAGGCTGCTGGGCATTGTAGAGCTTTGCTCTGGAGCGGTCGGTGCTGTGTTATTGAGAGGGCTGCCTGAATTATGAATGGAGCTTGGAGAGTGAGCGAGAGCCAGCCGGGCTTGGGCTCTGCAGACTGCCTCCCCCCCACCCCCGCCCCCAGCCCTGTCTGGAGTCTCCTCCTCCGGCATGGGAGCCTGGCTTAGACGTGTCCACCTCGCCGCTGCCCGGATGGACAGGCGGTTGCGGGCTGGTTCAGCAGGATGCCCAGGCGCTCCAGTCAAGACCAAAAAGGCCTCCGTGGGGTGTGTGCGCATTGTTCTCTTCATAGAGCCCCCGAGGTTCTTCAGTTTCCCAGGGGCTCTGGCTGGCATGGAAGGACCAGATCTCAAGTCGCCTGTTTGGGGCTGGATCTGGTCCTGTACACCAGGCCCTGGCGAGAGGAGATGGGAGGGAGTGGGTGTTACCTGGCTCAGGTCAGCCAGATGCGCCGGGCTGTGGCGCCTCCCAAGGCCTCTGTCTCCGCTCGCTCTCCTGCCAGCCTCCGGACGCGCTGGCTCTGTCCACGCCAGGAGCCTGTCTGGTCTTTTCCATACCTGTTAAATCATGGAGGGCCGCATCTTGTTAGGCGAGCAGCTGGCAAAGACCAGGCCGCCGTGGGTCAGTTCCCACTCCGCCAGGCATCTGGACCCGCAGTGTCCTCCAGCCAGCCCGGCAGTGGCAGCGAATTAACCCACTCCCTTCCTTTCTCCTTTCCTTTCTCTTTCCTTTTCCCTTCCCTGTCCTGTACTGTCCTTTATTCTGAGTGGACGCAGCCCCAAGCCAGGCTCTGAGTAGCTGCTCTTTGAGAAATATACAAACCACATACCCGTGCGTGTGTGCGTGCGTGCGTGCGTGTGTGTGTGTGTGCGGTTGCTTGTGAGTCATCCTAACTGGCGTTAGCTGGTTCTTTAGCTCTGGGGTCCCGGTGTTCTCCTCCGCCTCCTGGGTGAGCTCCATGGGTCCCTGTGTTTCCCATCCTCATCTACCACCGTCCCCGTCTCTGTCCTTCCCCTGCCCCACCCCCCGCCCCCCCGCATCTGCCTCCGTGAACCCCTGAAGCCAGCGGTCCCCGCTTACCCCTTCCCGAGTCTCCTGGGCACCCGCAGAACTCTGCGAGGGGGGAGAAGGGGCGGGAAGCGCGTGAGGTTCAAAGTCGGGACAGACCGAGCTTGGTCTGTGGTCTGCCCTGCGGCAGAGGAGCATCTGCGAGGTCTGGTGCCCCTCCCCCCCCTTTTTCTGTAAGGACACCGGGTGCAGAGGGGCTCACAGGCGGTTTGGCCCCCGGGGGTGCAGATGGCCGGCGGGGGGTGAGTGAGGGTCCTCTCCACGGGGTGCCCTTGCTCTGAATGAGGCATCAGTGCCCTTCCCCTCCCCCCCCCCCCCCCCCCCCCCCCCCCCCCCCCGCCCCGGCTCGCTCCTTCCGGAAGGCTGCTAAGTGCGGATGCACGCAGAACTATTTTGGAATCTGCCAGCTGTCAAAAATATCCAGGGTCTCAGCGCGGTGACCCGAGCGTGCTCTGTCCAGTTGACTCCCTCCAGAGCCCCCGGAAATCGCGTTCCCCTAACGATCCAGGCCTTTGGGCCTTCTGGGGGCCTGTGCCGTGAGAGGTGTTCAGATCAATGGGCTTGGGTCACATCCTCCAAATAACCCCATCCAGGAGGGAGGTGATGCGGCCTGTCTCAAGGAGAAACGGAGGACCTGGGCTGTGAACTCGGCTCTTCCTTGTTCACCAGGCCAAGTGCTCCTGGGACAGGGACCATCGTCTCTGTATTAATAGCACTCAACCCAGGGCCAGAGCGCAAACAGGTGCTTATTAAAGACTCGTTGAACTCACAGAGGAGGAGAGTTGGTCCCAGTATGGACTTTGAAGATATCTTGGAATTAGCTAGCCACTGACTGCCCCGGGGAAATCTCCTTCGTTCACGCTCTTTCCCTCTAGTTTCATTCAGGAAGAATTTATGCTTTAGGTACTGGGGGATTCAGCAATGAACAAAATAGACTATGCCTCTGAGCTGAATTTTTTATAATCTGAATTTTTTTTTAATCATCAGAGAGACACAAACTGGACTATTCGAAGCCGTTCCGGGTGGTGACAAATTCTAGAAAGAAGGATGGGGGAACAGGAGTGGGAGCAGAGCCAGTCTGGTTAGATAGGCTGGGTAGAGCTTGGCAGGCAGATGGAGCAGCAGGTGCCAAGGTCCTGAGGCAGGCCTGCCCGGGTTGTATTAGTGAATGCGCAGGAGGAGGAGAGGAGGAGGAGGTAGGAGGTGAGCTCAGAAAGGCGATGGAGAATGGTCATGGCTACGACTTTCGGTGAGATGGGCAAGGGCTGGAGAAATCGGAGACGAAGAACAGCTCAGAGCTTCTGACGGTCTCCTTGCTAATGTTAATTAAAATGAGATCATCCGTTTTAAAACAAAATGACTCTTTTTTCTTCTTCCCTGACCTCGCTCAGCTCAACCCCTGCTTCCCGCACCGGGTGTGTGTGTGTGTGTGTGTGTGTGGAGGGGCGGCTGGGTCTCCACCCCCGAGTGGAAACGGGGAAACGGGGCCGTCCTGGGTTCAGGGATTCTTCCCCCTGCCTTCTTGCCTGCAGGAGGCTGGAGCAGAACTTCTTCAACTGCAGCTGTGATATTCGGTGGATGCAGCTGTGGCAGGAGCAGGGGGAGGCCAGGCTGAACGCCCAGAGCCTCTACTGCATCGGCCCCGATGGCGCTCAGCTCCCGCTCTTCAAGATGAACATCAGCCAGTGTGGTAAGGAAGCGTCCGTCCGTCCGTCAGACATCCGTCCGTCCCTCCATCAGACCCCCCCCCCCAGGGGGGCGAGACTCAGAGAGGCTCATGGGACCGTAGATCTCAGGGCCCAAGAACAAGCTCTAGGAAAGCCCGGCGTCTGGCGACAGGCCCGGGCACCTGTGTCTTGGGCAAGCTCCCTGGGGGCCGGGGGGAGTCCCTGCAGGTCGTTTGAAGATTCATCACAGGGCCAGGGCGGCTCACGCCTGTCTGTCATCCTGGCTCCTCCGGAGGCTGAGATCCGAGGATGGCGGTTCAAAGCCAGCCCGGGCAGAAACCTCCGTGAGACTCTCATCTCCAACAGACCATTCAGAAAACCGGAGGTGGCGCTGTAGCTGCAAAATGGTAGAATACTAGCAAAAGGAGCTCAGGGACAGCGCCCAGGCCCTGAGTTCAGGCCCCCATGGCCACTGAGAAACAACCACAACAGAGGCATCCCTGAGCCAGGCACGCAGGTCCACCGTTGACCTGCGGGCGGAGTTTGCCCGAGTGGCATTTGCTTGTGTGTCTACCCTTCCTGCCTCTCCTCTGCTCCCAGACCTCCCCGAGATCAGCGTGAGCCACGTGAACCTGACGGTGCGTGAAGGGGACAACGCTGTCATCACCTGCAACGGCTCCGGGTCGCCGCTGCCCGACGTGGACTGGATGGTCACCGGCCTGCAGTCCATCAACACCCACCAGGTGAGCTCCACGGGCTCCGGAGGGAGACCACGGCGGGGCCCGCCGCCCTGCAGTCACAGACAACCTCGGGAAGTTGGTCCTGTCCCCGCGGGGACAGACACGGAGCCTCGGGCCCAGCTCTGCCACTTCGACCTGACACGTGCGATCGCAACCGTTCCGTGCCTCCGTGTCCTCTCTCGTGACGTGGCGGGGTGAGGGCCACTCGATCTGTGACTGTGCACCGTGGCGCCCGGCCCGGGGGCTTCCGTGAGCCGCCCCGCCCGCCCCCACGGCTCTCCCCGTGAGCTCCGCAGGTGCCCCGTGGGTGCTGACCACGGTCTCTCGATTCCTGCTTTCAGACAAATATGAACTGGACCAACGTGCACGCCATCAACCTGACCCTGGTGAACGTGACCAGCGAGGATAACGGCTTCACCCTGACCTGCATCGCCGAGAACGTGGTGGGCATGAGCAACGCCAGCGTGCCCCTCACCGTCTACTGTGAGTGCCTGCCACCACGGAGGCCGCCATGGAGACTGGGGCCAGGAGGAGGCTGGGAGGGAGGCTGGGGCCAGGAGGAGGCTGGGAGGGAGGCTGGGGCCAGGAGGAGGCTGGGAGGGAGGCTGGGGCCAGGAGGAGGCTGGGAGGGTGGCTAGGGCCAGGAGGAGGCTGGGAGGGAGGCTGGGGCCAGGAGGAGGCTGGGAGGGAGGCTGGGGCCAGGAGGAGGCTGGGAGGGAGGCTGGGGTCAGGAGGAGGCAGAGGCCAGGAGGAGGCTAGGAGGGAGGCTGGGGTCAGGAGGAGGCAGAGGCCAGGAGGAGGCTAGGAGGGAGGCTGGGGCGGTCAGGAGGAGGCTGGGAGGGAGGCTGGGGCCAGGAGGAGGCTAGGAAGGAGGCTGGGGCCAGGAGGAGGCTGGGAGGGAGGCTGGGGCCAGGAGGAGACTGGGAGCGAGGCTGGGATCAGGAAGAGGCTGGGAGGGAGGCTGGGGCCAGGAGGACGCTAGTCCCAGGAGGAGGCTGGGAGGGAGGCTGGGATCAGGAGGAGGCTGGGAGGGAGGCTGGGATCAGGAGGAGGCTGGGAGGGAGGCTGGGATCAGGAGGAGGTTGGGAGGGAGGCTGGGGGTCAGGAGGAGGCTGGGCAGAGGCTGGAGAAGGGAGTAGAGGCTCTCGTGTAGCATGACTGAGAGGTCAGCCCTTGGTGAGTGACCCCTGGCCCCCGAGAAGCCGGTGTGCTTTTTCAAGGCGCTTCCGATGGGCCCGTTTTGCCCCTGGCCAACCCCTAGCAATACCTTGAGTAGAGGAGGCCGGGGCAGGGGTCCCTCCAGCTCCCGGGGGGTTCTCTTCCTCTCTGTGGGGCGGGGCGGGACCTCCCTTCCCCTCACCCCTTTTCAGAGTGGGGTGGGAGGAGAGTCGAGCTGTCTCCCAGCCCCGTTCCCGGAGCTCGCCCCGGGGCGGGCGGGGCGGGGGGCCACAGGGGCCCCGCGGGCCACGGACATCAGCCGGCCTCTCCCCCCCAGACCCCCCGCGCGTGGTGAGCCTGGAGGAGCCGGAGGTGCGGCTGGAGCACTGCATCGAGTTCGTGGTCCGCGGGAACCCGCCGCCCACCCTGCACTGGCTCCACAACGGGCAGCCGCTGCGCGAGTCCAAGATCACCCACGTGGAGTTCTACCAGGAGGGCGAGGTGGCTGAGGGCTGCCTGCTCTTCAACAAGCCCACACACTACAACAACGGCAACTACACCCTTGTGGTCAAGAACCCGCTGGGCACGGCCAACCAGACCATCAGCGGCCACTTCCTCAAGGAGCCCTTTCCAGGTGAGCGGCGCGCGACCCGACCCAACGCCCTCTTGCTGGCGTCGAAGCCTCCAGGGACACACCGCTGCCCACGTTCAGCCTCTGCGCGCGTGCGCACACACACACACACACACACACACACACACACGCTGAGCTGGGACTACAGACGTGACATGCAGGAAGGGTGGAGAAGGTCCACCCAACCCTTCACATGTGGCAGCCCCTGGGTCCCAGAGATTGCTCTTTCTGAGCCTCGGTGTCCGCCGGGCTGAGTTATTAGTTACGCACCCTTGGGGACAATCCGACCAAAGCCATGCTCTACCCCTCCCGGTCTGCCGTGGGTCCCAGCAGACCCCACCGTGGGGCTGATGCTGACGCTATCACGTGCTACGGCGACTCTTTCCCTTTTTGCAATTACTAAGAATCGCATGTTGAGATCTGCCCGGATTATTTCTCTTCATTCCTCTTGTGAACTCATTTCGACATTTAAGCATGAAGATTCTTGCCTGAATTCTTGCCCAACTTTGGCAAAGGCTTGGAATTTACCAAACGCTCGGGTTTTTATTCCCATCCTCGCCTCTTCTACCTTATTTGTAGGGATTTTACCATGGGAGAGTCCTCTTCCCCCCCCCCCCCCCCCCCCCCCCCCCCCCCCCCCCCCCCCCCCGCCCCCCCACCGCCCTCGCCATTTTGTTGTTCAATGACATATTTGTATCTGTGTGGCTTTGTGGACATGTTTGCTGTTCCTGTGTTTGTTTGGTGGGATTATCACAAGGAAACGCCGTAGATTGGGTAGCAATTTGTCTCTTGCCCCTCACGATTCTGGGGGCTGGTCATCTGAGACCAGGAGTTGGCAAAGTCAGTGTCTTCTGAGGCCTTGTCCCCTTGTCCTTCGCCCTGCGTCCTGACTTGGCCTTCCTTCCGTGGATGTCTGTGCTGGGCTTCACTCACCAGGACACCGGTCCTACTGGATTAGAGGCCAAATTCACAGTTGCTTCTTTTTACTTAAGCTACTTAATTGAAGACCCTGTCTTTAAATACAGTGATATCCTGAAGGTAGTGGGGGTTGCATCTTCAATGTATGGATTTTGAGGGGACACACGGGTTTTGGTCCTTGACAATCCACGATGGCAAATTATCCTGTCTGGACCCCTGGCAACCCTGAAACCGTAAGCGTCCCTTTCCGCCGACGCCCTTTTCCTCTTCCCCGGCCCCTTCGGTCCTTGAGCCCTTTCCGTCTTCCTAGAGCCAGGGTGGTTCCAGGCACGCCTTGTATTTCCCCAGCCCCATCTCCCAGTAGTCCATGTCTTCAGGAAATTCTCTTTTATTGGAGAGGGAAAGAATCTGGAAGATTCTTCCCATTGATTGGTAGACCCACCCAGAGCCCGTCTGTTACTATCTGACTGCCACCAAAGCCTCTTAGATGAGTGGCATGCAGCCAGTTAATTTCGGTAAGCTCGCTTCGGGATTTGCCGAGACAATGCAGTCCAAATGAGAGGAGGGTTACCAAGGTGGCCTGGTACATGTTGCCTGAAGCGCTCGGTACCCCTTTTCTCTCCCCCCTACCTCCCCAGCTCATCACCGATGACTAGTTAAGGACTAGCTTTATTTTCCAAGGCTATCTGGGTCCAGAGACCAAAGCTCAAAGAGCACCCATCCCTCGGTAGGAGGGGCAGGGTCTGTGGGGCGACCAGGGAACCACGGGAGCCACCTGGGCCTGTCTAAGCGCAGCCACCTCGTCCCGTGGCCCAGCACCTCCACGGCTCTGATCACGAAGCAGGGAGGGGGCACCGGCTGGTCTGGGAACTAGGATTTAACTTCCGGTCTCAGCTCCTGGATGGACCGCCTCCTTTCTCTCTGGTTTTGTCCCTGTCCGGAGGGCGACCCCCTCCCTCCCCCAGAGGCAGCGACTGCCCCATGGGAAGAAGGGTGCAGGTGTGAGGCTGTGGGACAGGGCTTGGGGACTGGGAGAGTGGGAGAGGCCGTCAGGGGGGGCTGACGTAGCGGGTCTCATCTGTTTTTGTTTTTTTTTAAATGACATTTGTTAATAATTACCTCTTTGTCTTTTCTTTCTTCTTTTTTTCAGAGAGCACAGACATCTTTGATTTCGGTAAGTCCCGCTTCGTTCTGAGAGTTTCCATTAACGACCAAATCCAGACCCCACTCTCCCCTCTCCACATCATCCTCACCTACAGGATGACTGAGGGTCTCTGAAGGAAATGGGGGAAAGGGACAGTCCCGTCTGGGGCCTACTTTTCCCTGGGTCATTGCCCCGGGCCTCAGTTTCTCCCAGGGAGTTTTCTGAGATCCACCTGGTGGATCTGGCCGTGGCGAGGGTGGGGGTCTTTGTGATCTGGCGGGCCCCTACTGAGGATCCCACTTGTTCGGATAAAGCTGGGGGGGGTCTGAAAAACTCACTAAGGTTTCTCACCTGTGTTTCAAGTCCTGTATCCTGGCCAGAACCCTCGTCGGGTAGAGTTAGGAGCTGGCCGGGTGGATGAAGGGCCCTGGCGTCGAGGGGAGGGGCCGGGCAGAGACTCTGGGCGACTCTCCTGTGCCCCAGTCAGCTATGTAATCTTCTGTGTGTGTGTGTGTGTGTGTGTGTGTGGTGTGTTTGCTTTTCAGACTCTGAAGTGAGCCCCACGCCCCCCATCACTGTGACCCACAAGCCAGAGGAAGACACTTTTGGGGTGAGTCCCTTGTTTGGTGAGGAGGAACACCCCGGTACCGAGTGGGTGAGGGAGGGGAGAATGATCTCCTGGGAGGAGACCTTCCTCATTTGACGGGTGCAGCTCTCCGGGTATGTGGAAGCCTCCAAGGACGAGTTGGAATTAGCCGGTCCGTTAACTGCCCCTGGCCTTCTGCGCAGGTCTGGGCAGCTCAGGCCTTCCTGGGCGGGTTTTCTGAGCCCTGATCTCTGCGAGATGGATTTTCTCTGGGAAGGCAAGCAAAAGAGTCGTCACTAGCTCCTCCTGGAGAGGAATAACAGGGCACGAGGGTACAGAACCTGCTGGATAATTAAAATAACAGAAGTTCCTCTAGATTTGCTTGTGTGTCTCTACAATAGCCTGTAGGTGAAAGGAACATTGAATCATGGAACTTTTCTCTAATCAAGTTGGGTTAATTTTCCGTTTTTTAATTAAAAACAAAGATAGAAGCTGTCTCTGAGTCTCAGAAATGCCTTCTTCTAAGGCTCTTATTCAGTGGTGAGGTTCTGGGTGTGAGGCGGGACTCTGGTCATTTCCATCCTCAGGCTGGGATGGATTCCCTGCGGGCAGGCGGGGCACTTCGAAGACCCTGGGATTCCGGTGGCTGGTCCTGACTGTCTGTGTTTGGCCCTCACAGGTGTCCATTGCGGTCGGACTGGCTGCTTTTGCCTGCGTCCTGCTGGTGGTTCTCTTCATCATGATCAACAAGTATGGCCGACGGTCCAAATTTGGAATGAAGGGTAAGGTGGTGGGAGAGGGCTCTCGAGGAGTCTCTGGGGGGAGCAACACAGGGCTCTCCTCTGGTCCAAAGATGCTGTTGTCATTTCCTGGTGTCCTCTGAGAGAGACTCGGGGCCTGGGGCTGATGTGGTCTGGGAGGAAAGCCTTGTCTGTACCCTCGATCTTGGGAGTGAAGGACGGAAGGCCGCGCCGGGGTCTGTGGGAATCCAGCCACAGGCCGTGCGGTTTGCCCATGCGTGCCGACAGAGCCGCTGCTCAGAGGGGCTGCTGTGCTGGGGACAGTTTTGGGACGGAGGTTGGGCTCCGGGGCAGATGAAGACGACGCGGTGTTGGGAGTCTGGCTGGGAAGGAACCACCCGGCCTGACACGGACTGGTAGACACCGGCGCCAAAAACCCGCCGGCGCCAGGGCAGTTCCTTCCGCCCGACACAGAGTTCCGGAGCCGATGCCAAGAGCAACACCAGGTCTCTCCCTCCGTTGGCCAGCTGCCACCCCACGCATGGAGCGCGCAGCCCCGTGAAAGGCAGGGTGGGAGTGGCGGGAGGTGGCACCCTGCCAAGGCTGGGGCCAGGGGCCGGGCATGAGTGGGGCTAACATGGCGCATTAGCATCCACCTGTCCCGTCACGGGGTGGATGGAACCCAGCCGCTCAGAGGAGACTGGGTGCCAGTTCCAAAGGAGAAACGTTAGGTTTTTCCATCAGTGCTCACAGCTGGGGTTTCCGTGTGTGTGTGTGTGTGTGTGTGTGTGTGTGTGTGTGTGGCTGAGGGTCAGGCAGGGGTGGGTGGGGAGGAGTGGATAAAGGTCCCTGTGAGATGCAGGTCGGTGTTCACTGCTGACACTGTGGGTTGGAGCAAGATGAGCTTGTATGGCTGCAGTGGGGGTCACGACCTTGGGACTCAGGGACTGAAGGAATGTCCAGTAGTGACACCCACGTGCGAACGCTGATGTGTTTGTCCACGGTGAGGGTTGAAGGTGGGTTCATGGGAGACTAGTATATTCATTTTATGATACGCTCAAAAGATTACATGCCTCCCTTAAATGTCGAGAACGCTGATATCTAAGAAGACACCGAAGGACAGAAGGGCAGACTTCTCTGGTTTTCCAGGAGTCTTCTTCTTCTGTAACTCTGCTTTTGTTGTTGTTGTTGTTGTTGGTCATGCGGCCTGAACTCGGGGCCTGGGCGCTGTCCCTGAGCATTCTTGCTCAAGGCTAGTGCTCTACCACTTTGAGCCACAGCACCACTTCTGGTTTTCTGGTATTTCACTTTGGACTTTCCTTCCCGGGCTGGCTTTGAACCCTGATCCTCAGATCTCAGTCTCCTAAGTAGTTAGGATGACAGACGTGAGCCAGCGGCGGCCAGCTATGTAACTCTGCTTTTGATGAACTGAAATGACGGCAGTTCCAAGCCAGGTTTTCTCGAACCAGCTAAGACATTTCGTCCAAGAGAAACACACACACAGGAAATTAAAAGAGGGGATGGAGTTTGATGACTTAACACCAAATAAGACTAGAAACATCTTGACTTGTGGCCTGTTATCTGCCAGCGCTGACCATGTGTTAAACAGGGCCGTGCAGGTTCATATGAGATGGGCTGAGTGGATCAGTGCCTTCTACCTCGGGTAATCCTTGGGCTCTTGGCTTTGAGGACTGGCACTCACGTGTGTAATGCTATTCTTTTCTACCTGGGAAGGAGCTTCCTTAGCTCTTCCCCCTTCCATGTGAGAACACAATCAGGCCATGAAGGGAAGGGAAGGCTTGTTCTTCCCTGACGGAGGCCTGGGGGCAGCTGGGGCGGGGCAGCGTCTTTGGCAGTGTTAGGGGGAGAGCAGATTTTTCCCATTAATTGTCATCCTGTTTCTGGAACAGCCTGTCCCCGAGTCGGCTGCATCAGGCTGGTACCTCCCGTCAGCTGTCCTCAGCTTCTCCTGGCCCCTGCTCTCCTCTCCCTCTCCTTTGGCCCTGGTTGAACTAGGAGAAACATTTCTACACAGGTAGCCCCAGCGAAAGCAAGCCTTGTTCTTGAGAGTCGGGTCACTTAAAGAACGTAGGCTAGGGTTTGGGGCAAGGCGAGGCTGTTTAGAATTACGCACGCTGCTCTCTGATCTCTATCAAGCCCGATGGTGTTTAGGACTAATTTTAGGAGACATGAGTAAAATGCCCAGATGCCAGATACAACCTTGGCATTTCCCTGCTTTGAGCACTTTGGCCCAGAAAACAGAGTGAAAAGATATGGGGACCAGAAGACCTGCGGGGAACCCCATCTCTTCATATCCACTCCCTTCTCAGCTGACTTGTGTGAACCATGGGTGCCTTAGCATCTTGCGGCTGTGGCCAGACACCCAAGCAAATGAACTTGATAGGGGAGGAAGAGTTTAATTTCATCCATGGCTTTAGAGTTCTCAATTCATGGTCACTCGGCCTCCTCCCCCCTTTTACCCCACCCCTCTGCATATCTATCATGGTGGATGGCTTGGCGGTGGAGATCTGTTCACCTCAAGGTAGCCTGGAAGCAAAGCATTGAGTCAGGAAGTGACCAAGATGGCCATATCCCTTCAAGGGAGCCACGCCAATAACTTCCTCCCCCTGGGCCCCACCCACTGAGGTCACCACCTTGCACTAGTACCAGGGACTGGGACCCAGGCCTGTGGTGTTTCGGGCCTCTGGGGGGGGGTGGGAGAGGTACACTGAGGAGCTGAAGCTTACCGTGGGCATACGAGAGGGCTCTTTGGGCATCCTCTTTTCTGGACGTGAAAGTCTTTATTGCCCTGCCGCAAAAGATTGTCTCTTTCTTTAAGTCTCTAGCACACGGTGAGCGTGCCTTTATTACACGCTAATGCGGTGCTTGCCAACGTCCTTCTGCACCCTGGGAGGATGCAGGGCAATGGTCTGCTCATTCGGACACGGATCCTGGGTGTGGAGACGAGGAAGCGGAGGCCCGGAGGCTGAAGGGCAGAGCACCCAGACTCTGCTTCCCCAGCCACTCCTGTCTGCAGAGAGCCGGGGAAGGGCTGCGAGACGCAGCCAGACCATGAAGGACGTAGCTCAGTTGTTTCAAGACCCGGTGTAGTTATCCCCGAATGCTGTCCCCCTCCAAGACAGCACCTGGTCACCCTGGGCTGTACTTGGCCAACAAGAAAAGTGGGCATTGATGAAGGGGTCACCCTTTTGCTTCCAGCTATGGTAGAGCAGAAGGAAGGTGGAATGATGGGGGGCCGGGAGTCAGAACTGTGGCTTGGGCTTCCAGTAATGTCTTAGCGACCTCAAGCCCACACTGTTTCCTTTTTCATCCTCTCGGATGGATGGATGGATGGATGGACGGATGGATGGATGGATGGACGGATGGACGCACACAGGAGCCTCCGCCGGCCCTGAGGAAGAGCACTCAGCCTTGTAGAACGGTTCCATTGCCAGTTTGCTTTAGTCAATAGGTACTTACGGTGGTTGCCTTTTTGATTCTGATTGGGGGTTCACAAGCAGAGATGAAACTGGGCGCAGGAATGGGGCTTGGTGATCTGGAATACATCCATTCTTCCGTGGTGTGTGTGCGTGCATGCGTGTTCTTTCCCACTTCTCCTTCTCCTCCATGCTGGTGCGTCCAGGGAGGAGGGCATTGTGGCCCCCCCACTTGGGGCTCCTGGCATGGGACTCGGGGTGTCCGACGACCCTTGGAACCTCGTTCTGAGCGCGGCTTCTGGTTTGTTTCCCATCCTGTCCTCTCAATGTGCTCTCTGAACAGACCTCCTCGGCTTCGACCTCCCCGCCTCCACGCCCTTTAAGCACTCCCAGTATTAGACCTCATCTAAATTAAAAAGGCAAAAAACAAACTGGAGACGGGAGCCTTCCCTGCCCGGCGGTCAGGCTGCAGACACAGCGTCGCCCGGTGTTCTCATAGGGCACCCTGGAGGGTGGAGGGCGGCGTGTGGGTCTCCCTGGGGGAGGGGGTGCTCCTACCGCTTCATCCTTGGGGGGGGGCTGGCAGGTGTGCAGCGAGCCTTCGCAAAGTCCTCGCAGGTCGCTTATCCATTCTGTCCCCGAGGGCCCTCTCCTTCCGCTCTGGGCTGCAGCAAGTCCAGTGTCCTCCGGCACCGGTGCGTCCAGTGGATCTGGAGCGTGAGATGATGTTTTCCTCTGTGACTACCTGCTAGCTTGCTCTTCTTGGCAGGCCGAGGCTGGCCAGGGGGCTCTACAGCCAAAGCGACTGTGTCTGGGATTCAGTCACTGCTGGCATCGGGACACTGCTCAGTAATCCTCATCATTGTGACCAGCGCTCAGGGTTAATGTCCCTCCGCACGGCACGGTACGGGCCCTGGCCTGTGCACCTGCTCCCCCTGTGACACGCAGGAGGCCATGTGCCTTTCACCTAACAGAGAAGAAGCTTGGGGACAGGGCTCAGGCCCCGAGTTCAAGACCCAGTACTGACAAAACACAACAAGAAAAAAAAACCCCAAACCCAGAGACGAATGACACATGTTTTCTCTCCTATGTGGAAGTTGGATCTAAACGATAAATAAATATGTAAACATCTACAGGCCCATATTGCATGTTCACACGAACACAATAACATGCGGGTGGTACGTGCAGGGAAGGGTTCCGGTGGTGTAACCCCTCTGAACCACGAACTTACAGTTTGACAAAAAGGAGACCCAGCAGGCGGGAGCCTGTGGTGTGGAGGAAGAGGAGGGGTAGCGGGGTTGAGGGGAGGGGGAATGAATGGAGAGACTGCAGTCATCATCTTTGAGGAGTGGAGTTGGGAGAGATGAGGACAATGACCAACGGGGTGACATGGGTCCAAGGGCGCGTCGCACCCATCATCTGGCAGGTTGGACTGACACCCCTGTGTATGACGGCTTCAAACATGAGACGGGCTTCCTTCTACCAGGCTGCCGTCCTGGCGCTCGGGGGCCCAGGCCGGAGGATTGTGAGTTTGAAACCAGCCCTGGCTGCAGAGTGAGCCCTTGTCTCCCCCACATCGGAAGTGGGGGTTGACAAACTTCCTCC